ATATATATTATATATATATATATATATATATATATACAGTATACATATACAGTATACAGTTTTATTCCAATTTGGCTGCAAACGTGGAAATACACTTTAAATCCAATAGAGTTCTGTTAGGTGACAAAATAGCCAGTTGGTGGTATGATGCAGAAAACACAAAATAAGTGCATGTAGACGTATTTGTGAGGCTCTCACAGAACACAACTTGATTTTGTAAAATAAATAATATCTAAAAGCTATACTAGACGAATAATGACTTGTTATAAATCCAATTCAATGAAAGAGTTACAGTGTTGAGTTCCACAGAAAAGTTAATTTCTTGTCAGTCTTTGTAGTTGTTTGTACTCTGCACCCCATGACAGTAACATTGAGTGTAGGCTATCACAGAACAGAATGCGCTCAGTGTTTTTAACTGCTCACAGAAGCTGCTCTCATGCATCAAAACTGTGCCTGGAAAGAAAGATTTGTCACAGACCCTGTTACTGCTTTTCATGCTTGGGGACCAAGAATTCCCACAGAGGTCACATCTGACAGTGAAGGACAGAAGGGGTATCTGTATTCTTCAACAAACTGAGAACTTGTGACTTTGGGGTGGATAAGGCACACCTTCTTTTTAGTTCCAGAAAAGTGTTTTGAAGTTCTTGAAAAAGCCATGAGCTACAGTTCTGATCTTGATACATTGACACACATATTCAGAACCTTCTTTGACATGGTAAAATCAAGTTTGTCTATGTCCAAACCTAAGTACATCAGACAGATTAATAAAAGTAGAATGGTTTGTTTTTTTAAAAATTATTTTGGGTTTTTTGAATCAGCTTATTTTGACATGTTCTAGCTGAGTTGAGATGATGCAGGTTTGTAATTCTGATTGGATCAAAATTATATGATAAATTGTCCTGGTTATGTGGTCTGTTTCCTTTAATTTATGTTTCTGTTGTTCAGACATGGTTTTGGGGTTTTTTCTCACCATAATTTATTATTGACCTCAAGGGTTTATATCATTTATATAAACTATAGCCAGCAAACAGAAGGTAAACCTAGTAATAATTTACAATCCAGGTGTACTTTCTAGAACTGTTAAGGTTATGATAGCTATTATCTGACTGTATTCTGTACATAAGATCATTGTTGAATGGGACTTGCTCATGGTGCATTCCCCATGGCTAAACGTGGACAGTCAACTCTACCGTTTTGCAATTTAGTTACCATACTTCAAGTCTGTAATCTATTTGGCTCTGGCACTCATACTTTCTGCTTTTGGGCACTTGTGGTCATGCTTTACTTCACTAACGTGGCAAATAAGCAGCACTCTCATTCTGACCTACAACACACCCCTCAGGAACCGTCACTCAGACTATGCTTAAAAGTAAGGTCCAACCCTTTTAGTCCAATACTAACACAACTTTACTCACTTTGTAATATATAGATGTTTTTTTTTATTCCTCTTCTTGATTTTCTTCTGTATTTATTTACTAAAGAAGACTTTTGTATTTCATATTTTAAGTAGGAATTTGCATGCAGATATTTATATACCCTGAACGGTAAATATTCTTAATAGTATACAAGTAAATCTGGCGCTGTCATTTAATTTGATTAACTATGTGTGGAAAGTCAAGCTAATGAAAAACTAACCTGCTTTTTTTTATTTGTTTCAGTGAGTAGTAAAAACTATTTACGCCTGCCCAGCAGCGGGCGAAGAGAGGGGCATCATGCACGTTTAATAAGTCCAAAAATGCACCAGCCCCGGTGTGTCCTCTGCTTGGTGTTTCGCTATCGTGCTTCAGGAACCAGTGATGGAATTTTGAAGGTTCTAAGAAGATCCAGCCAAGGGACCAAGTTACTGTGGAAAATAAGAGAGGAGCAGGGAGGAGAATGGAAAGATGGCAAAATCCTCTTGCAAAGTGATGAGGAAGATTACCAGGTATGAAAAATTGTAGCCCATACTAAATTACATCTGTTTTATGACATAACTGCTAATTAAGAAATTATCTTCAACAGATGCTTCTTCAGGACATGGCACTATCTTGCCAACATCAGATATTTTTGCTGTCAGCCATATTACTTCACTGTGAATTAGGTCAAACACAGAGGGAGTTATTCACAGAGCTGGTGAAGGCAGCCAAATGAATAACCCAGCCGAAGTAGAGTAAGCCGAACGCTGTTTGGCTATTCACTTCAGTCTTGTACGGCTGATTGCCAACAATCAGCTGTACATCGGCTAAAATCAGCCGTACATCAACTGCATTTGGCTCAGCTATTCTGCTCGGTACCTCCGACTCCCGCCGCAAAATGTAGCATCTGACAGATGGCGGCACAAGAAAAACAATTGGGTGGAGCTTGTGGTGACAGCTAGCTCCGCCCAACTGTTTCCTCTTGGTCGACACTTATCAGAGTCTTCAGCAGGTCCCGGCCAATGAATAACAAATGGGCTGAGCCGGCCGTGACGTCACGGCCGGCTCCTCCCATCTGTTATTGTTTAATGACAGATCAGCGTCCTCAGGTCATTTGGGGAGGCTGATTATTACAACTGGGCAGAGCGAGCCGCGAGGTCACGGCTGAGTCCGCCCAGCTGACATTTGCGTGGAGATTGGTCGGCTTTGGCTTCGGCTGTCACTACGGCTCAGCCTAGCCAAAGCATATGCGTTCGTGAAGCGACTCGAAGGATCAGCCAAAGCTACGGCTGGATCCTTCGGCTCTTTAGTAAATAACTCCGAGAGTTTCTGTGATACAATTGACTAGACCCATTCTAGATCCCTCTTTTCTCCACAGCCTGTTCCAACAGAACAGAAGGTCTGTTTCAGTCAATGCACTACATTCCAGGGTTTGGGTAACAGGCCATAATGTTTGTAGATCAGGAAAATTGATTTACTGATCTGGATATAACAAATGAGTGTCATCAACTATGAAACTTTGAAACAGAACGAACATGGCAATTATATCAAAGTGTTTCTGCTATTAAGACATTTTCTTTACTTGTAGCTAACAAAACACAGTTCTACCCTCTGGAGAGACATTATCATGGCTGCTTCTGTTTCATATGGTAGAAAGGACGTACAACAACCATTTAATATGATAATTTTATACATTATAGTTTTACATATCTGTAACACTGACTTTCAAAATTATTTGTTCCATGTCTGTAGTTTAGATCTCCATTTAAAACAAAAACCACCCCTTAACTGAAATAATAGTAATTAATGTGCATTTGTAAAATATATTCTTCATTATTATTATTATTACTGTAGTGTAATAATAATAATAATAATGTACTGTACTGTACTGTAGTGTATTACTGTAGTATTATTATTACTGTAGTGAAGCTTAAAATCAGCTTCAAGTTAAGTACACACTGAATCATGTGACAATATTTCAGAAAATAATTATAGCATTTATCCACTAGATTACACTTTATTTATTTGGATATATTTGCAACGACTGTATCTATGAGATGTTCCTAAAATAATTAGTTAAATAGTTAATGATCCTAAAATAATATAGAATTAGCAAAGTGGGAAGTGCATAAGAATAACGGAGATCATTGCTCATGTTACACCTGGTACTGCCTTAAAACCTTACCCCAGTCAGAACCTTTTTTTTTCTTATTTTAATATATATTGTAGAAGAGTTAGACACCAATGCAAAGCTGGCAGGTTTTCTATGTCTCATTGGTGATTATTACCCTCATTTCTTGTCTCTGTGACACCCTGGGTGTTACAAGGTGTCACTGGGCCAAGGAGGAAGAGTAGGTTTCTCCAACAGGGACATGGACCTGAGTAAAATGCTGACAGATATTCTAACCCTTTTCCCACTCTATCCAAAACCAAGCAAACAACAGTTTTGGCTGGAGTTGAGGTTTAAAATAAAATAAAAACTCATACGCAGTGTAACTTTGGGGTTTAAAATTATTGCTCCTCTTGCAAATTCTCCATAAACACAAAGGGTTAGTGAACATGGGGATTATAATGCACCTACTTATTTTTGTCAGTGCTGTGGGTGGGCTCTTATGCAAAAAAGAAAAATTAAGTTACTCTATACTGATAGCTTCACTCTGAGACTATATTTTCCATACCCCAGCTATAGGGAAACAAAAACATTGTTCATTTTGAGGATGACTCCTAGTTCTTTTGTGCTACCTCTCCTCTCTTAGCTGTGCCTCTCAACATTATGCATATTAGTCGAATGTGTCACCTGGATAATGCAAGGTATTCTTAATTACAGTGAGCCTTAAATTTGTCTCAGGTCCCATTGGACACTTTTTGAAAGCCGTGATACTTTGCAGTGTGCATATATCATTAGGTTAATAAATTGTCAGCGGACTGCAGGAGAGAAGCCAACTTCCAAGATATTTGAATTAAAGGGACAGTTCTAGCAGATATGCAATAAGAGATTTGTATTAAGAGGATTTATAGTGTTTATTTTAATATTACAGGAGAATCTGGATGGCTCCCATCGGAGACTTCAGTTAAGCAGAGTTGTTTTCATTCTGTTTCTCGTGTTGTTATAGCAACTAAATGGTACGCTGCTTGTTATTCAGAAAGCACTGATCTATAGCAGTATTTGGGTCTTTGTGGATGGCATTAGGCGTTTGATGTATTCGGCAGAATTTTGAAGTCTTGTCTCGCTACAAAAAAAAATATTCTCCACTCCCTGTAGTTTAGACATGCAGGTATCAGCTCTATGTTTCTGTGATTGTAATCAAATAGAAATGAAACATCATCCCAAACAGTCAGCATAAATGGAATAAAGACAGCCTTTGAAAAGTACATGCGTTATACCCAATATGTCACAGGGTTTATTTTACTTGGTGACACAAAGCGTTTACTACATATAGTTACCTTTTTTTTTCTCATATATATAGATCTATAGATCTATAGATATAGATCTATAGATCTATAGATAGATATATATAGATCTATAGATCTATATATATACTAAGGGAAACTTCCCTTGCGAAGAAAAATGGACTGAGGAGAGCTCATCACAAATTGCTTAAGGGGAGTTAAGGTGGCCATACACTTTACAATCATCGCAAGACCTTAAGGTGCCCATATACTTTACAACCATCGCAAGTCCGTAGTCTTGCGATGGTTATACAGTAGTTAAAAAACTGTACGATCTGCCCATCTTGGACAGGCAGATCGTACTTGCGATCATCGCTTCCGATTACCGCAATGTTGGACGGGCAGTGTACGTGTGCGCACACCGGCCCGTTCGGCATTTGTCTCCCGAGCATGCCACAAACCAGCCGAAAATGGTACGATTTTCGACTGGTTTTCGAACATGCTCCTTAGGGTTAAAAGACTTAGGGACAAAAGACGTGCGACCGTACAGTAAAAACGGTTGCACGCCTGCCATACACTTTGCAATTATCGTACGATCGCAGGATTTCCCACGATTATCGTGCGATAATCGCACAGTGTATGGGCACCTTTAGTCTTGTGATGGTTGTTAAGTAATTAAAAAAACGTACACTCTACCCATCTTGGACAGGCAGATCGTACTTGCGATGACCGCAATGCTGAACGGGCAGTGTGCGCGTTGCCCGTTGGGCATTTGTTTCCCGAGCATGCCACAAACCACCGAAACTCGTAAGATTTTCGGCTGGTTTTCGAACATGCTCCTTAGACAAAAGACGTTTGACTGTACACTAAAAACGGTTGCACACCTACCATACACTTTGCGATTATTGTACGATCGTGGGATCTCCCGCGATAATCGCAGTGTATGGGCACCTTTAGTGGGAAAAGGCGGTGTGGTACAAAGTAGTGCGTTAAAGGTTGAATTGACAGGGACTGTATGAGATGGTGTTAATAAGACTATTGAAATAGGTGTGTTTCAAAACACAGGGGGAGAAATTTTATTTTAGTAGGGCAACTTGATACAGGCTAAAGTATTGCAGGGATTTACTTTTACACCACAATAGTGCAAGAGCATGGGTATGTCATTTGAAACTTCTGCAGGGTTATTCACAAAAGGGTGAAGAGTTTGGAAAAGGCAGGAGAAGTGAACAATCTAGGACAACATAGCTGAACTGGAAAGTGAGCTGAATTGGAGAATTTTTCCAAATGATCTATTTTGGCCTAGATTGTTCACTTCTCCTGTCTTCTCCAAACTCTTCACCCTCTTGTGAATAACCCTGCTGGTGTCATTAATTTGCTAGCATTGCTGCGGCCAGGGCCTAATTCTGTGTGTAGTGTGGGGAGCGAGTGTGTCAGTCAGAATGAGATCAAGTGGCCAGGTCAGGGGTGAGAATTTGTTATAAAGTTAGTTAGTAGCAGAATAGAGAACACAAGTGTTAAAGTCGAAAAGGTTTCTATAGGTAACTGTTTGCTGTTTGGAAGGATAGGGAGTTGAGGACAAGAAGAGTGTGAAGCTGATAAGGTTGGGATCAGAGAGAGAAAAGGTGTTGGAGAGGTTGCAAGCAGCACAGAGGCGTGTGACTACAAGGTCAAGGTGTTACCATCATGTTTCCATTGTTAGGTCAAAAGAGGAGGTTAGGTTGGGAAGTTGAGAGTTAGCCAGGGTGTTAGTATTAACAGGGTTGGTAAACTCTCCAAGTATGGTGGTTCTCCAGAATAAACAACATTATGCACATGGGGAGCTTACGGCTGAGCTTCACAACCGTTCTGAAAAATTTAACTGTATGTAGTTTTATTGGATAGATTTCTCTTTCTCCCCCTCTCTCAGTTCCCCATTCCCCCACTTTTTTTCTCTTGTTGGCTACCTCCTTTCTCCTTTTCTTCGTTCTCTATCTTTTCTCCTTGCCAGTTTCGCTACTTATAAAGGGAAAACATTTTTTGGGAAGTTCGTATGACCCCTCCTGGATTATTGACATATCTCTAGTATTGTTACTCCTGTTAATGCTTTTGATATATATTTTGGTCCTTCAATTCTGTCTAGTCCTCATAAGCATGCCTGTACTGTTTTAGTTGATATTGCCATTTGGTTTTTGTGCTGTGTGACCTATTGGAGTCATTACAGCACATGTGTCAAACTCAAGGCCCAGGGGCCGAATCCGGCCCACCAGGCCATTTCCTAGACTTCTACTTTCAGATCTAGGTATTAAGCTATTACTAAAACCAGTGATAATCGAATGCAGAGGCAATCATGATAAAGATTAGATACATTTATATAGTCTTACAGGACCTTTGAGGGCAACCATAATGTTGATGCGGCCCACGATTACATTGAGTTTGACACCCCTGCATTACTGTCTTTCCCTCCAATAAAGATTTATAATTAAAAAAAAACTCACCAAGTATGCTAGTGGGCATTTTAGATGAGAAAAAGTAGAGTAGCCAGGCACAGAAGTTGTCAAGGAAGTATGACAACTGTCCAGGAGGCCAATAAATGACAGCAATCCTCAGAGAAACTGAAGAACAAAAGCTGAATACAGTGAGCCTCAAAAGAGGACATGTAAAGGAAGAACTTGATAAGTGCTTTGTAGAGATATAAGGATTCCAGCCCCATCTCCCTTTTGTCCACTGGGTCTAAATGAGTGAGTTCAGTGGAAGCCATCATGGGAGAGGGCAGCTGTAGAGGTAGAGCCAAGTTTAAGTAATGGAAAGTACGTTAAGGGAGTTGGTGGTAAAAAGGTCATGGACAGAGGTGAGCTTGTTAAAGACAGAGCAGGCATTCCAATTCCAGAGAACACATGAGTAGTGGTGCTGGATCTTAGAAGCAACGGAATAGAAACTAGACTCTGTGGTATGTGATTTTAATGTATATCACTTACTGTATATTTCTTTGTATTATCTCATGTGTGGTTATGCATCTGATCAAATAATCAGAGCAGTTTATAAATAATACAGAAACGCAGATGATGTAATTGGGTAATAATGAGGTGGGAAGATTTGACATAGATTGTTCTTGAAGTGACACATGAATGCATCCATAGATAACAAGCAAAATCTAGGTGCTAATGACTTGTCAACATGGTGGGAGTCATTAGGCTGTAGTTAAAAAAAACTCCTTGCATCAAGAAAATGTTTGCCTTTTTCACATATTTCTACATTCTTTTGTCTTTAATGTGAGTGACATGGTATCTATCTATTTTTCTGTCTATCTGTACATCCATTAATACAGTTTTGTGTACATGTTTGCGTACTATTTTCTCTCTATCCGGTTGACTATGTATCAGATTCACTTACATCTGCAGTCTTTGGAAACAAAGTCGGAATGTCCTTTAGTGAAAACCATTCTAGAAAGAAATCTATAAACAGCCATTTTGGCATTTAATTAAATTGCCCTCCTGTTTTATGGCAGTCACTGTATTAGAAAAGGCCACAGTTCAGAATTGATGCAAATTCTTGCAAATGGCTATTGAAAGGCTAAGCTGCTTTTTTTCTTGTGCTGTTCCCTTTTAAGGACAGACATGATTGCATTGATTATTGAAGAGATAAGCAACTGTATTAATCAGCAGCCAGTGAGGAAGTGCCTTGCTGCTGGAAAGAAATTGCATTTTAAATTCTAATTGTTTAGTTCTTAACCAGAGGAACCTATACCTGATGGGTAACAGACTTCTTTGTGCTTTTCTTGGTTACCCATAGCAGGAAGACTGAACTCGGCTCATTCTGAGAAATGTATTTAATTATGAATCATGCGGATAATGCAGTACTCATAGAATTGTATGCTACACAATATTTAACACACTAACCCCAGGCATAACTTCGAAGATATAAATAATTTGGGAACATTATATTTATAAAGCTGTTGTAGTGTTATAGTTGAAAGATGCATCCTGTAATTGTCTGTTCATAATGTGAATGCAGATTACGCAAATAAATTAGGTCAGAAAGAGTAGTCATACGCTGGTGGACTGATAAACTATCCAATATTTGCTAGGGATGTGACCTCTTCAGGCCTCAGTAGTGATAACTAAGTAGTATACGGATTAAAAATCAAAAGATGTGTTTACAGGCATGAAAGTCAATAGAAAGTCTAATCGACTCAGAGCTCTTAATGATCATTTCCTTCTCCCCAGAGAAAAAAGATAAAATGCCAAAGGTTCATAATGCTTTTTGGTGCTTGGCTTTTGAAAGTTATTGTTTTTTAGTATTTTGCTTTTGATATTGACCTGTCAATTCCTTAATCTTTCTTTGCAGGTTGTCATTGAGGGGATTGTTGGAAAGGGCCAGTCAGGAGAGATAGCTGTGGATGACATTCGAATAGCTAATGACATCCCCCTGGAACACTGTATGGGTAAGCATGTCCAGACATTCTGTTATTGACTATCAAAAGTTATAGCTTAAACAAAGTTTGTGTGCCATAAAAGTTCAACATTATGCAACTAGTTTTATTAGTGGCATTACTTAAGCTGTATACTAAGCGAATTTTGAAATGTGATCGGTTGGTGGCTCTTTCTGCCAGCTCCCGTCCGACACCCTTCAATTGAAAAATCGAAGGAGGCAGGTCAAAATTTGTCAGCCAATTAGCACCTGAAATCCAGTCAGATGCAGGCACTGTTCAGGTACTTTGAAAGCCAGCGGGGCCAACTGTCATATTACAACAGCTGCAGTGGGAGGTTTGGTTAGATTTTTTTCCGTTCAGACCAAAATCTGAATGAAAAAAATCTTATACTGCATACCCAGTTTAAGGACAATGTTCTAGAAATAGAAATTAATTACCTGTCACCTTGGGGGCATTATTACATTGTCAAAAAATGTCTTAAGTAGGCTTAAAGCAGTATCTTGATGTTGAATGTTTTAAGTAAAGAAAAGGAAAATTGATAATGCTTGTCCTGGTAAAAATAAATGCCTTGTGGTCCAGTTGTTTTTTTTTTGCTTAGTTCACCACTCAGTATAACTGCATTTATTATATTATTATTATGTAGCACAGTATCTTGCTGCCTTCACTTGGAGACCCTTCACCTCTTAAGATCAGTGTAGGATTCAGCTTCCAGACCTCTGTCCCCATGGCCTGTCTTCAGAACTCATGAACACCATAGGAGTGGCTTCCAGACCTGTGTCTCCACTTTTTTTGTGTTGGCTAAATGTAATAGCATACTACTACCCACGTATAATGTGGCATCCAATATAGCAGAGTACTGTAAACTAGTATTACCCTGTGGAAATGTGACCCTGAAAACCCATAAATATTTCACATACCAGCGTGGACAGTGAAGAATGCAAAGCCCCTAGACAGTAAGGGTGAGCACTGGAATCTCTGGGTTCCACACTAAAACATTTTGGAAGTATGGAAGCTCAAACAGATTGAGTGGAAAAATTTCCTGACAGGTGATGTGCCCCAGAAAAATCGGCATAGAACATTTTCAATAGAAACCACTCAAAAATTAGGAATCACTATAATTCCACCCGAAGTGAGACAAACTCATACACTTGGGAACAATAGCAGAGAGATTTCACTAATGGAGCATCCATGACATATAAAAAGCAAAATGCTAACTCAATGCACCAGCCTCCATTTAAACCTAAACTTTAACTTTTAGATGGTTTGATACTTTAGTATCAGTGTTGCATTTTTCCTAGTCCTTATGTATGATTCAGAACATGAAACTTCAATTCATTGTTGCAATGATTAAGATGCATATTTGAAATTTCCACATATTCTATCATTCTGTAAATCAAAAGAACAATTAAATAATATGTCACAGAGACAGAAAAAAACATGTATATTTTATTGCCATTGCTCTCTGGCTAGACAATAAGTGGCTGACTGAGCACCTTGGGGTATGTAGTTTAGATGCTGATGACAAAATACTCTTGTTTTAATTAATGATAGTCATGAGAAGCCATGAGAATATAATTGTTCTGTTCAACGACAGGGATATTGTTCCTATTCCTGGTGAGCGGAATAGACCAAACACCTAATCAATAAGCAACTCTTGCACTCATGCCCGGCATCGACATTGCATATTAAATCAAATGTAATGAATCCTATGGGAGATTTGTACTTGTATCTGAAATTAACACACCATTGTGGTTTACAACAGTGCATTTATCCAATATGAACAGTGAAACATTCTTTCAATATTAAACAGTAAACTCGAGAAATTTCTGATCCTGTAAATATGTGAACAGTAAAGCATCGGCAAAAATTTAAAGCGGCAAAGCACCTGCCTTAATACTAGTACACATTCTCTACCCTGATATTATTGAACACCCCCTGTCCTAATGTTAGTACACACCCCCTGTCCTAATACTAGTACACACCCCCTATCCTGAACTTGTACACACACCCCTGCCCTGATACTAGTACATACCCCCTGCCCTGATACTAGTACACACCCCCTGTCCTATTACTAGTACACACACCCCTGCCTGATATTGGTACACACCCCTTTGACTGAAATTAGTACATACTTCCTGCTGTGATACTCGTGTGTACCGCCTGCTTCGATACTAGTACATACCTCCTGCCCTAATACTAGTACATACCCTTGCCCTGATATTAGTACACATACCTTCTCCTGATACTAGTACATGCCTCCTGTCCCTATATTAGTACATACCGCCTGCCCTGACTAATACAAACCCCCTTCCCTGATACTAGTACACACCCCTCGTCCTAATAATAGTAGACACACCCCTGCCAGATATTGGTACACACCCTTGCCTTGATATTAGTACACACACCTTCTCCTGATACTAGTACATGCCCCTTGTCCTTATATTAGTACATATCACCTGCCCTGACTAATACAAGCCCACTTTCCTTGTCCTAATAATAGTAGACACACCCCTGCCAGATATTGGTACACACCCTTGCCTTGATATTAGTACACACACCTTCTCCTGATACTAGTACATGCCCCTTGTCCTTATATTAGTACATATCACCTGCCCTGACTAATACAAGCCCACTTTCCTTGTCCTAATAATAGTAGACACACCCCTGCCAGATATTGGTACAAACCCCTTGCCCTGATACTAGTACATTCTTCCTGACGTGATTTGCAAATGAAACGCAAAACACAACAAAGAAGACCCAGGACTGTTGAGCAGTTAGAATCCTATATCAGGCAAGAATGGGACAACATTCATCTCCCAAAACTCCAGCAACTGGTCTTCTCAGTTCCCAGATGTATACAGAATGTTGTTCAAATAAGAGAGGATGCTAAACTGTGGTAAACATGGCCCTGTCCCAACTTTTTGGAGACATGTTGCTTCCATCAATTTCAAAATTACCTTATTTTTTTCTTAAAATGGTTTATTTTCTCAGTTTATACATTTGATATGTTTTCTATTTTCTATTGTGAATAAAATATGGGTGTCTGAGATTTGCACATCATTGCATTCTGTTTTTAGGTAGATTTTACACAACATCCCAACTTTTTAGGAATTAGGGTTATACAGTACATATGCCCTGTATTGATACTACTTTGCATCCCTTGTGGTTGGATAATGGTTACCTCCAGTGTAGATTGCTAGCCTCTGCTAAACCAAGTCAGAAGGGACATGGCAGATTCCCTTTAAAACAGTTGTTACTTCTAAAACTGACTCTGTAATAATGAAAATGTAAAATATAATATTCCTTTTTTCTATTTTAGAACCAATCGCAGCTTTTCCCCAGTCAACAGTATATCCTGGTAAGTAGCAAAAGATGATGTATAACATTTGCCTTATTATTTGCACATAAAATAGCTTGGTTTAAAAAAAATGGTTACATTTCATAGTTTCAAATGTAAACATTCTAAAACATATCTCAGGATACATGTTCCTATTCATAGTAAGTGAAGATCTGATGAAATAATAGAATCTGCTACAATATAAATAAGTAAACTACCAATGCTGACCTCCTGCCTAAATTTAAAGTTACCTGGTCCTTTTGCTGACCCATTGGTTTCACTACTTACTGACTTCAGCTAAGATCAGGTAAGTCAAAGAGTCAAATGTTTTTTTCTTCATGCTTGTCTGGGTCAGTGAGTTACAGTAATAAAGCAAGGGGATCAGCATGACATCCACTAATTTCTTGAGGGAAGAATTTAAACGTATCTAGTAAATGAGCCCAAATAAGTGTATCTTGCAGTAGGTCTAAAGAGGGAGGCCTGCATAGCTTATATTTATATACAGTTTATATTTAGTGCCAAAGTGACAATAACTTATTGGATTGAAAATGGCCACGCGTAATGGAGCAAATCACTTTCAATCACCTCTTTTATTATACAATAATATATAACTTTATATTACTTTAAGTTGCTAAGTCATGTATTTCACATCTGTATATACATATGTCTGTAAATACAGATTGATTTAGATTGAGCTAATGGCACTTGGAAATGATACAACATATCAGCAGTTCTGTAGACAAAGAATTATCATTTTTTTCCATGTAGCCCTCATTATCTTCTCTTTGTCATTTGCATTGGATAACACGAGCATAAATATTGTCTGCCGGAGACACAAGGGATTTGTGACCGCAGCTGACCCGAGAGTTGTATGTTAGTAAAATCTAAATTATCAATACAATCTAATGTAACTGGTTTTTATCATCCAGTTGATTTTTGGTTTCATCCTTATCTCAGCAATAATAACAATACAATAGATGACCTAACTGATGTAACTCTTCCATTAAAGGCAGAGATGAAAACAGAGATTTTAAATTGTTATTGTCATCCACAATATTAGAGCGCGCCATGCTTCAGAGCAATAGATTTTATGGAGCCCGTGTCTGTGAAATTGGATCCATGTTTTAGGGGATAGTGTGGATAACTTCATGTTGTGTTGTGGAATATAGCTTTTGTGTCTCTTAGTCTAATAACATTCTCATTGTTATTAACTGTGGGAAACACAATCCTAATGTGTCTCCTATAATGGCTGTACTCTGTGTGCCGTCCACATTAAAACTGGAGGAAAATAAAGGAATGTGGCTGACATTTGCCTTTGTAATACAAGAGTCATGTGCACAAGGACTCTTCAGCAGACGTTTATCAGATATAACACATGATCCTATAATAATAATAATAATAATCTATTGCTAATTATAAAATGACACATTTACATAGCACTTTCAGTTATGGGGCATGAAATTAAAGCAAAATTCCAGGGATTTTTTTAACCCTTGCAGTGAGACAAACCCCCACGCTGCAAGGGCTAAGTGCTCATTTTGATCTAGTGAGGAAAATAACAAAGTTTTACTCACCTGATTCTCTGAGCCAGCCAGCTGTGACCGCACTCTCTCCAGCTTGTCTCCCCCTCTACTGCAGTGATGGCATGTCCCTCTGCAACCTTATGCTAATTATCCTGAGTTCTTCTTTAAACAGTGGTGGTGAACTACAATCAGAAACAAAAGGATTACTGATAAGAATAGGATTTTTATACTCACCGTAAAATCTTTTTCTTGTAATACATACATTCTTAGACAGTTGGGTTATACTGCTGCCTACTGGACAAAATGGCCACTGGCAACAGAAAAAAAACATTAGCCAGTACAGGATAACCAGTGTCCCTCATTGGACTTTGAGAAAAATATTTTACGATGAGTATCTAAAAACTATTTTCTCATCCGTTGAGGGGCACAGGGGTTCTTAGATTGTCAGGATGTCCAAAAGCAGTCCAACAGAGGGGCGGGCAACATAACACCAAAGGTTACCAGATGCAAGAAAAACAACAGAAAAACTGGGAACTGCCCACAGCTCAGTGAGCGACCTGAAGGACCTAGCACTTGATTGTATCCTCACAGCTGGATAACACATTTAAGTACATTAAATACAGCCCAGATGATTAAAGAAGAACTCTGGGAAGTTCAAAAAAACTCACCCTTGCAGTGGGGCTACCCCCACACCACAAGGATTAAGTGCTTGTTTTGTCTAGAGGGCTCAAATAAAGCTGTATTACTCACCTGATCCTCAATCCTGCTGCAGTTAGAATTACCTCTCTCCCTCTCCTCTCTGGCTGTGGAATGTCCCAAGGCATTCTCACATGTATCTCAAGTTAATTGACCTACATGTGATGATGTGACAATACCTACATGTGATGATGTCGTTTGGGGAGAAGAGACTACTGGGAGCAGTCTACCAGCCTGGCATGACTGAGGATCAGGTGAGTATATCTGCTTTATTTGAGCTCCCTAGACAAGATAAGTACTGCAAGGGTAAGTTTTTTAAAATTCCCGGACTTTTTTTAAGTATAACAACCAAATCTGCATTATCTAAAGAAGTATTTGTTGATCTCATTATATTTAACCCTTTTAAAAAAACAACTGTCTGCCAAGCTCCTTTGCTGCATATTCATTTTTTTCTAACTGACCTCTATAATAAAGCAGGGCAAACAACTAAATACACAGATTAAATACATACATGAGCGCTGGTTTAAATGTAAAAGGATTTATATTTCTGACCATTCAGTCTACCACACAGCCCAGCCCTGTCCCAGGGGTAGGGGCCTGGTTTTTCCTTGCAGCAGCTTTACTTTTACTTACAGGTCCCCTGTAAGAAGCAGCAGATTGATAATCTAATTTGTCTGTTAGTCCGCTCATTCCTCCTATCAGCATCCCCCTTGTGCTGCGGCACGCCTGATTGGCTCCTTGTGCCGTTTTCCCCTCCCCTTAGGTTCCCATCGAGGCAAATTTAGGTACTTACACTGCTTACATTTACATGATCTATTAATTTACATCTATTACAGAGCTTTATTCATGTGTGTATTATATATCTTTAAGTTTACCTTTAAAAGAGAACTATGGGGTAACCTTTTTATCCCATAGTTCTCTTAAGGGTCACAGGAAGACATATACTACCGTCCTTCTGAGAGCGCCGCAGCCGAGACGGGTCTTGACAATGCTGTCGAGATCCACCCAGCTCTGCGTAAGGGACAGCTGGCTCTGCCTCTAGTCAGCCCTGGAGGATCGGAGTGGGGGATGAGGGGAATCCCTTCAGGGAGCGGTGATTTATGGTATCCGCTCTCTGCAGGGAGAGGATCAGGAAGTGAGCAACGGTATGCGTTCGCTCACTTCCCGATCTATAGAGCCGACGTGTGACAGTTTCATTGTCACATATCGGCTCAAACTATGAGGTTGAGTGAAAATCACTCACCTCATAGTTCTCCTTTAAGTCTTGTAAGAAAAATATATATTCAATATATTCAAATTGATTTAATTTTAATATGGGCCTTTCTTACAGTCTTGTGAACCATAGAACCCACTGACACCAATGATGGGGCACAATTCCTTACACTGCCACTAATGGGGAGCACATCTCATCTCACTGACAATGGGGTATTATTCCTTCTCCCACTGACCACATGTACTAGTTTTTATTTACACAGACCACCAAGCCTGCGGTATTGTTTACTTCCACTGCCACCTGGGCCTTTTCTACTCTCCCTGGCCACAGTCTGGTCATTTTAAAGTATGAAGGACATCGAACTGGTCCCTTGTTTATAAAGTTTTAGGATTCCTTAACTAGACCTACATCCAAAACTATAACAGGTTAGGGAGGAAAATGAGTAAGTAACCAAGTGGGAAAATTCAGCAACCCCCCCCCCACTGATGGTTTTCTGCTGCTGACTTGCAGTTTGGTGCCTGCAATATTACCGTTTTTTAACACAAAGGCACCAGCAGTTCCTACAGTAAGGGGAATAGACAACCAAAGGCAATCAGATGTTCCAATCAAGACTGAAAAAATTATATTAAACACAAATTGCCCCACTACCTATTATTTAACAAAAAAGTTAGTTTTGAGTAGAGGTCTTCTTCAAAATAATATAATTCTTTCCAGATTTTGTGATAAAACATACATTTCACATTAAAAATGTTATCTTATTTTGCTACAGTCCTTATTTATTTGAAAGAAAAGCATTTTAAAGTGATGCTGACAGATTGCTTGTTTTACCATGCTGTACACTGTGCTACCAGAGTAATCTGCCAGTTGACTATTTTCTAAAATCTCAGGTTAGCTATACCTCCAGCGTTACCATAGTCTATAGCTTTTTAGAAAACTAATAATTTCATTCTAAGTTGAATTTAACACACCAATCCCAAAAAAGTAATCTAATGTTAGAAAGAAACAGCCCTCAAAGTAATGTTGAAAAATAGATTCAGATCAGGAAAATGTACGTTTCTCCTGAAATTCTTGCCATTCCTTCATCTCTATGGTGCCAGTCACACTATCGCATCCGGGAATTGACCACATGGTCTTTGCCTAAGGGGCTTGGTAGACTGCTGCTTAGACACAGCCAGGCAGTCAAAAGCTATCACTTGAGACCATTTGACCACTGCCTTTGGCATGGTAAAGAATCTAGGAAAAAGATACATTGCCTTTATGTTGTTTAACATTAGTCAAGGAGATGTTGCTTCAAAATATCATTATACGGAGTATAGATCTGCTTTAAATGCCAGAGTTCTATAACTTTTTAGACAGCTTGTTTATTTAATTGAATAAACCAGTACAATTTTGTGCAACTTCTGTGCAGACCGTAAATATGTAAACCTAGAAATATGCTAGGCAAGCTCTGAGCACCCATTCCCCCTCCTTCCTTTTTTATCTGGCATTTTGTTTTTTGCTCCTCAATTGCTTCTAAAACCAAACAAGAAAAATGCAATACTGTGCCAAGACTGTTGCTGAATATTTTGCTTGTGCTCCACGGTCGGAAT